ATTGGTAACAATCGTTCTTGATAATTTAATTCTTCCCTCAAATCAGTTTCAGGATGAAGTAAACTCCCTTTGTTCTTTTATCCAATTTTCTACACAATAGAGAATTTTAATATCTGATTACTAATTGTTTTAATAAGTACTATCAGAATATACTGTGTTGATTGTGCTGAATCTCTTTCTCTGTGATGCTCAAGGACCTAGTGGCTAGCATGTACTCGATTAAAGTGGCAGGCCTGATTGTGAAGATTCTCTTACAGCCCAACATGGTATTTTTAAAAAGAATGTTCTGGGGAACCAGCAAATGGCATAATGGCTGGTTCCCAGGTAGTCGCTGGACTCCCAGGTAGTCGACCGCGGTTCAAGTCCCAGACCCGGTGGCTTAAACTCACACCAGGCGCATGTGCCATGCCCAAGATCCCAAAAGGAGAATGGAGGAGAAGGGATTGTGAGGTGGCTATCCCTCCTGGGGGGTGATTTCTTGCTTTCTGTCTGAGTCTGTCTTCTGGCAAGCGCACGTGCCCTATAGCAAAAACCTCTCAAAAAAAAAAAAAAAAAAAGAAAGAAAGAAAGAAAAGAAAAGAATGCTCTAATATGCTGTGATAACCCTGAATTGAATCAAAAGTAGCAATGAAAGAAGTGTAAAAACTGGCCATAAGCCACCTTTAGTTTGCTTCTGGTGTCCAGGGAGTACTAGAATTTGTTCAAAAGCTTGGTGGGTACCGTCATGAGGAAGTTACACTCTTTAAAATGTACGGCTAGCGACTTAGCAGGTAGTGTGACTGTTAAAGCCCTGAGGCACCCCCAGCCCCACCCCCATTGGCCAACTCTGTAGCTTGAGTCCTGGACCCAACTGCTTGAAAAACATGTCAGGCACGTATGTGTACATGCCAAAAATCCCAAGAAGAAAATAGAGGAGAAGGGACTGTGGCATGATTTCTCACTTTTCGTCTCTGTCTCTGTTTCTCTCCTGTGAGCACGCTTACACTATGGTGAAAAAGAAATATAGTTGTCATTATTTACGGTACTTACATTCTATAAAGTCAACATGAACGTGAACACTGAATTATTGGATGCTGAGCCATTGCTCGTAGGGAAAATACAAGGTTAGGTTCCTGTCACTCTCTGGTCATGACATTTTTGTTAACTAATCAATATATAATCTTGTTTGATTTGTGTTTGTTTGAGGACACCTTATTTAATGTATATTATAGATTCATTAACATTCAGCCTACAGCCAACAGCTCTGTAACACATGTCTGAATGAAACTCATCTACCATGCATTTTTCTCCCTACCTCACATAACCTTTTTGCTTCTAAAATGCTACACAGCCCTTCAGCACTGTGCTAGGGAAGTCACCAACACAGAATGCAGAAATATGGCACTAAGAAAAGGACACTTGCTTATGGTGTACGAGTTGAAATAAAAAGCAGAGTGTCACCTTCCTTCATCTCAGCTGGAAAGGTGTATCAGGTGGCTCAAGGATTTTATTACTTTGTCCATATCCATAGATAATCATGAAAGCATCACAGGTATGGATTTGGAGGGTTACCAGTAAGTTTTTCCAGGAAGGCAAATCTAGAAATATGGAATCTTCAGGTAGTGAGAATTGACTCTAATTGCTTTATTAAAGCACTAATTTTGAGGGATGATAGCTCCACAACTGTAGGTGCCAAATTCCAATAGGTTTTTTGCGGTGAGGAGCGGGTGCATATGTTTGCTGGAGAGAGACAGAGATTGGGGTGTAGTGAGAAATCACCCCCTGGGGGGAAGGCCTGCTTCAGTCCCATCTCCATTCTCCTGTCAGGATTTTGTGCATGTACACACAGGCGTCTGACATATTTTTCAAGCCACCAAGTCTGGGACTCAAAGCACGAAGTTGGCCTTGTGGGATTCAGCTGCCTTAACCTCCATGCCACCTGCTGGCCCCATTCTAATAGACCTCTATGACTACAAATGGTTCTTAGCTAAAGATACTTCTATCCTGGTAGCATGTTACTGAATAAACCTAGTTCTTTGTTATAAAATTTATTAAAATAATAGTGACTTGAAAAGAAATCTCATAGTGAAAAATAACTGAATTATACCACTATGCTTCCAGTGGAACCTTACTTCTGTCTACATTAGTTTCCATGGAAAATTTATTCTAGATTCCAGCTGGAATGCCCAAGTCCTTTTGTTACTAGGTCTTTGGTTCCAGTAATGACCAGTCCATCACATGCACCTACAGTGTAGGATTTCCATCTTCCCTGCCAGCTTAGGTCTGGGGCTGGGCATAGAGCACTAGGAGTTGGACTCCAGAGGATGTGAAGGAAAGATCAAGATGGCAGCTCTGACAGAGGAGTGCTTGGGGCTTCCACTGGGAAGATGGAGAGATGAGTCCTTCTAATGACTCTCATACATATCACCATGATTTTTAAGGAAACTAGGGATGATTGACAGTACTGCCCCAAATCTGATGGAGAGAATGTTCTCTTAAAAACAGTGGCCCACCTAGACATAAAATATGGGGAGGGTGACCCATTAATCTGATCCATTAAGGCATTTCCTACCCCCTTTAAGGTTTCAAGTTTGAAAGATACTATTAGTAGTTAAAACAAAAATGTGAATTCTGGTCTTCTCTGTGTGGTGAGCTATGATAAGTCTCTGAGTGAGAAAATGATTGACTCACAAGTTTATATTACTAAGCAGTATTATTTAGACTTAGCATTTTCCCACAGGATTACGGTATTCTGTAATACTGAACATATGTATATGTGTTTCATGTTTACTCGTAGTCACTTAATGCTTAAAAATTCATAGTGAAGAAAATAATTGAGATAGAAAAATATAGGTTAGTGAACAAAAGCCTAAGAAGGAATTTAGACTTTATATGAGGTGTCTAGAATAATCAAACTCATAGAAACAAGGAATAAAATAGTGTCGTGGATGGGAACAGAGGGAAATGGGCGGTTGTTGTTCGAGGGGTGTGAAGTTTCAGCTGAAGTTTTAGTTATACACGATGAATAAGAACTAAGAGATCTGCTGTAAAATGCTACACCTGAAATTAACGACTCTGTGTGCACTTAAGAATGTGTTGAGAAGATAGCTCTCATGTTAAGTGTTCTTCTACAGTTTCAAAAAAAAATTAGTCCCATAAGTATCTTTCAAATGACAAGTTTCTTTAGAGGAAGTAGGACTTTTAATAGATTTCCCAAGTTCAGCATATGTTAATGAAAAGTAAGGGACTGGATATTAAATATACTTAATTCAACTGAGTTTTCTGTAATTTAATAGAGCAATATATTAGTGCATGACCATTTTTGACACCTTAATTTTATTCTAAGAAAGCATAATACATGTCGTATTTTTAGTCATTAGAGTACCTCGAGAGAAGGCAACGAGTCTGTAAGTCAGAACTCTTCTGTTTCCTTTCCTTAAATGCTCTCTAGACTGATGGGGGCAGGACAGCAGCACATAAACTCTTACTTGTTAAAGGCTGGAGAAGTCTAGCTGCAGGGGAACGTGTTCAGCTTTATTTTCCAGATTCCTTACATGTCTCTGCATTTGGAGCCCTTCTTTTCCAGGAACTTTAGTATCTTCCAGTCCCTCCTAGCCGAGAACGCAGGGGAATCAGCTTGTCATAGTTAAAGAGGGCCCTCTCTCTGTTGATGTAGGGGCTGTAGGTACCACATCTGACACAGAGAGCTACAGCAGCAAGCTGGAAAGTAATGTGCCTCCAGTCCTTATTTTCAGGATGACAAGCCTCTTCATACCTTCTCTGGGGAAAATAGTTAGGTTTCATCTCCATCACCTCACAGGTGCTCTGGCTCATGTGCCCTGGTGACCAGGTGGCCTAGAAGTGCCCAAGCTCCTTTAGGAGAATGTACAAGGGATTAACGTGCTGTTGTAGTAACCGCTGTTTTATAAGTAAAGTTTTCAGTGTTTTTTACCTGAGCTTCTTAATCAGTCATTATTTCTGAAACACCAGGGCTATTATAAACCTTAGATCAATGTTTGTTACATCTCGTAAACTTTAACATTCTTTTTAAAAACAGCAAAGAAATTGGAAGACCACGAAACAGTAGATAAACAAAATAAATCATAGGTTGGCTAAAGATTTTAAAGATGTAACCCAGGTAGAGTTGAGATTGTAAAAATCCACAAGAAGAATTGTGCATAATCAGTGTGAGACAAGCTGATAACATTCTGACCGAGAGGCTTGATTCGAGAGTGTATGTGAGAGTACCCAAATTTCTGCTTCGCATATCATGTAGTTGCGTATCAAGCATTTGCTAAACACAGCAAGTATAACAAATGATAAGGCTTATATTATTTGAATAACTTAAAAGAAAAGTATCAAATCAAGTTAAATGAAAAAGGGACAAGCAGTACGTGCATGGAGAAATTGTCAGCCATTGATGGAATTCATGCCTGTCATGCTGTGCTTGGTGTTGGTGCTTCAGTGGAGAAGACACTCTATCCTTTGGGGAAGAGGGAAGCAAAGGGGTGCTTTGTGTTGATAAAGATACCCTGACACCTGTTTTAAAAATTGTTCATACTCAGTGCTGACAATTTGGAAATGCATTATTTATGAATCCTAGAAAGACAGAAACTTCTTTATTTTTGAAGCTCAGAAATTTAATGAAAGAACCGGTGTGAGTTTCTTTATTTTTAAATTTCAGAAATTTAACAAAAGAATCAAAGAAAAAAGATGATAGCAAAACAGCCTGTATATTGAGCAGTAGGGCCTGTCAAGTAAATGAGCATTTTTAACCCAATAGAGCATGACTTAATGATTAAAATTACTATGAAAATAGTATTACTGGAAACAGTGTCATGATAAAGTGGCTATGGTTGTGTTTGTACTGCTGAATTTTGTTCTATAAAGTAGGCAAGGCATGTGGGCTATAACGGTAGCAGGATCATAACATATTAAAATCTGTTTCGTGTAAGATTTACTTACTAGAAGAAAAATAACTTGGATTCATTTTAATAAAAATGATTTTTTTTCTTTTTCAGCTGACTACACGGACTCTGCCTTCTCTGTGTTCCTGCAGCCAGAATCATGACCTAACACCCCGATGACCTTTCCCAGAGCCCTTGGGTGACTGGCCGGTGCACCATGGAACTTAAAGTATGGGTGGATGGAGTTCAGAGGATTGTTTGCGGGGTCACCGAAGTCACAACCTGCCAGGAAGTTGTAATAGCCTTAGCTCAAGCAATAGGTAGGCAAACTCTGAGATAAAAGTACTTCATTCTGCCCTTTGGTGTGTGTGTGTGTGTGTGTGTGTGTGTGTGTGTGTGTGTGTGTGTGTGTGTGTGTGTGTGTGTGTGTGTGTGTGTGTGTGTGTGTGTGTGTGTGTGTGTGTGTGTGTGTGTGTGTGTGTGTGTGTGTGTGTGTGTGTGTGTGTGTGTGTGTGTGTGTGTGTGTGTGTGTGTGTGTGTGTGTGTGTGTGTGTGTGTGTGTGTGTGTGTGTGTGTGTGTGTGTATGTACTTGCATCCATGTGCATTGTCTTTTAAATAGAGGTCCCTAGTAGATTTTGTTCATTTGGTTCCCTAGTAAATCTCACAGGGATGTTTTCTCTTCCTCCTGTTTGCCCATGTATACGTAAACTTGTGATGGTACTAGTTCTCTGACTCCCCTGACCCCAGAGTTTACTCATCTTGAATCTAGAAACCATGCTGCCTTCTCCCCATCTATCTATCCTACATAATTAATACTGGAAGTGAAGGTGTTCTCTTGAGCCAATACATAGGTTCCCTAGTTCCCAGAATCCTTCATTAGGAAAAATTCTACTTCTTGTTTGCTTCTGATTACTTTTTTTAAAAAAGAAAATATAACAAATTAAATTACATGGTTCTTCATTAGAAAAATAGCATGGGGGCCAGCAGATGGTGTAGCGGTTATGTTTCTGGACTCCCAACATGGCTGACCATGGTTCAAGAGTCTGAACTAGGGGCTTGAAACTCACACCAGGCTTGCGTGTGTGCATGCCCAAGATCCCAGGAGGAGAATGGAGGAAAAGGGATTGTGGCATGACCGTCCCCCAAGGGGGTGAGTTCTCACTTTCCCTCTCACTGTTTCTTTTACTGTCTCTCTCTTGTGAGCACACACGCCCAAAGGCAAAAAAGAAGCTAGCGTGTATTTTTTAATATTTATTTACTTATTTTATTTGTAATTAATATTTTTTAATTTGATGAGCAAAGGAGAGAGAGAGAGAGAGGGGGGGGGAGTGAGAGAACAAGCTGCCAGGTCCAAGACTCAAACCATGGTCAGCCATGTGAGAATCCAGCACCTTAACCACCATGCCACCTACTGGCCCCAGCATGTATATTTTTATAAAATGCATACCTTATAGTAAAGATAAAGTTGTCAACTGGCTGCAGTTCAAATCCCGAACCTGGCAGCTTGAAACTTACACCAGGCACATGTGCGTGCATGCCTGAGATCCCAAGGGGAGAATGGAGGAGAAGGGACTGCAGTGTGACCATCCCCCCAGGGGTGATTTCTTGCTTTCTGTCTCTCTGTGAGTACCCACACCTGGTAGCAGAAATCTCTCTTAAAAAAAAAAAAAAAAGGGGACCAGCAGTTAACGTAATGGCTATGTCGCAGGATTCCCATGTAGTCAACTGTGGTTCGTTTCCCAGACCCGGTCACTTAAACTCATGCCGAGCACATGTGCCTGCATGCCCAAGATCCCAAGAGAATGGAAGAGAAGGGATTGCAGTGTGGTCATGCCCCCGGAGGGTGATTTCTCACTTTCTCTCTGTCTCTGTCTGTCTTTCTGGCAAGCGCACGTGCCCTATAGCAAAATCTTCTCAAAAAAAAAAAAAAAAAAGTTGTCAAGTACATAGTTTACTGGTCACATCTCCTGGTTCAATCTTACTCTCCTACTCTACCTCAGCCTAGGTTGTTTTAAATGTGTTTATCATAGTTTACAAATGTTTACTAGTTGCTATAAATCCTTATGGAATATGATGAGGACATAAAAACCTGCCTCCTGCCTCGGGAAAAAACATAAATCTGGGCTAAAGTTTATATTTGCATCTTGAATGTATTGTTTTGCAAACACGAATTAAGAAGAAACTGGGTATCATGCATTGTACCAGGATGCTCAGTTCCTCTTTGTCCTTGAGCAAAAGTTTTTTTTTCCTTAATTATCATTATTTTTATGTCTTACTGCCATATATTGGAAGGATGTCGAGTTAGTTCAGAATTGAAACAAGAACTGAGTCGCACAGTGGCCAAGGCACCTCAGCATTTGGTAGAGGTGACTGTGCCACCTTTACAGAGCCAGGTGCACAGTTAGAAGTCCCCAGTGTCCTGTGCAAAGATAGAAGCTTCCTTTTAATTCTGACTTCTTTTGATTTTCCCTTAAACACTATAGTATACTAATACAGGAGATGACTACATGGGAAGCTGGGGTTTCGATCCCAGTCCAACGTAAAAGCTACCCAGTGCTGTGGGCGCAGTGACTCAGGGAGACTGAGGCAGAAAGGTTGTAAGCCCAAGGCCATCCTGTGTGACACACTAAAGCTCTGTCTGAAAATAAGCCAGGCATGGCGTAGCTGTAGTCCCAGCCAGGAGGATGAAGCAGGAGGAGCACAGCAACAAGACCCTACCAGGGATGTGGAGAACTCTAACTTTCTTTGTTACATTTGGGAATCAAGCAGTACTAAAACAAAGAAAGAAAAACAAATAGGTTTTTACCAAAGTCAAAGTAGTTGAGTAGTACTATTATAGCTGCATGTGCCCACACACTAAGCACATTTCCTACGCAGAAACTCAAGGGGAAAATGCTCAGACGAACCAGATATGTGCTTGTCAGCCATTTGGACTAAAGGATGCACTTATTTGTGAGAAAGTTAGAGAGGAGTTTTAGTTGCATCTACAACCGCCATTTTTGCTTTCTCAATAACTCAATCCAAGACCTGTTTTGAAGAGATTGACAACTTAAATTCAAGTATTGTATGGTATTCTCCAAGCTTGGTGAAATAACTTTTTTCTGTGTCATAAGTACTTCATCAAATTGAGGATTCATCTGAGAGATGACCCACTAGCAAGTAGCCGAGAGCTGTCGTGCTAGTTTCTGTTCCACCTCACGATTTCCTCAGCGTCTCTCCAGGCATACCTCTGCTCATTGTCCTTTGCTCTTTTGCATTTCGCAGATACTGTATTTTATACATTGAAGGTTGGTGGCAGTCCTGTGTAGAGCAAATCTATCATCCCATGTTTGCAACAGCATGTGCTTGCTTTGCATCTGTCACATTTTGGCTAGTCTCTCAATGTTTCAAACTTTGTCATCATTACATCTGTGTGGTGATCTGTGATCAGTAACTTTTGATGTTGTTATGTTGTTGTTTGGGGGAACCAAAAGCCATGCCCATGTAAGATGACAAACTTAATAAATGTTGTGCAAACTTAATGTTGTGACTGCTCTACCTACCACCATTCCTTTCTCCCTTCTGCTTGGTCTCCCTGTTGCCTGAGTCACAATGATACTGAAATTAGGCCAGTTAATAACCCTGCAGTGACTCTAAGTGTTCAAGTAAGAGGAAAAATCACACATCTGTCACTTTAAATCAAAAGCTAGAAACAGTTGAGCTTAGTGAGGAAGGCCCATCAAAAGCCCGGATAGGCTGAAAAGTAGGCCTCTTGTGCCAAAGAGTTAACCAAGCTGTGAATGTGAAAGAAAAGTTCAGGAAGGAAATTAAAAGTGCTAGGAATGAACATAGCAATGATAAGAAAGCAACACAGCCTCCTTACATAAATGAGAAACGTAAAATGGTCTGAACAGAAGATCAGACCAGCCACAACATTTTCTTAAGACAGAGCCTCATCCAGAGCTCAGCCCTCACTCTGTGCCATTCTACATAGACTGAGAAAGGTCAGGAAGCTACAGAAGAAAAGTCTGAAGCTGGTAGAGGTTGGTTCATGAGGTTAAGGGGAAAAAAGCTGTCTCCATAATATTCAAGTGCAAGGTGAAGTAGCAGTGCTGGTGTGGAAGCTACAGCAAGTTATCCAAAAGGTCTAACTAGGATCTTTGGTGAAGGTGGCTACAGAAAAACAGGTTTTCAGTGTCATTGAAATAGCTTTAGATTGGAAGAAGGTGTCATCTAGGACTTCTAAAACTAAAGAAGAGAAGTCTATGCCAGGTTTCAAAGCTTTTAAGGACAGGCTGACTCTCTTGTTAAGGGCTAATGCACCTGGTGACTTTTAGTCAAATCCAGTGCTAATTTACCACTCCCAAAATACTAGGGCCCTTAAGAATTATGGTAAATCTACTCTGCCTGTCTTCTGTAGACGGAGCAACAAAGCCTACAGCAGGATTCATGGGATATTTGAGGCTCTTTGTTGAGACTTACTCCTCAGAAAAAAAGATTCCTTTGAAAGATTCCTTTCAAAATATTATTACTCATTGGCAATGCACGTGGTCACCCAAGACCTCTGATGGAATATATAAATTAATGTTGTTTTCATGACTGCTATGATAACATCATGCTGTAACATATGATCAAGGAGTAATTTCAACTTCAAAGTCTTATTATTTAAGAAATATATTTTGTAAGGCTAGAACTCCCATACATGGCGATTCCTTAGGTGGATCTGGGCAAATAGGTGGATCTGGGCAAAGTAAATTGAAACCTTGAAAGGATTCTCCATTCTAGATGCCATCAAGAATATTTTTGATTCATGGAGGAGGTCAAAATAGCAACATTCATGGAAGTTTGGAAGAAGTCTATTATAACCCTCATAATGATTTTGAGGGGTTCAAGATATTAGTGGAAGAAGTATCTGAAGATGTGGGGATAGCAAGAGAATATAAATAGAAGTAGAGCCTGAAAGTGTGACAGAATTGCTTCAATCTCATGATAAAACTTTAATGGATGAAGATTTGCTTGCTTGAAAGAACAAAGAAAGTGGTTTCTTGAGATGGAATCTATTCCTGGTGAAGATGCTGTGAACATTGTTGAAATGCAACAGAGTATTTAGAATTTTACATAAATTTGGTTGATAAAGCAATGGCAGGATTTGAGAGAATTGACTCCAATTTTGAAAGAAGTTCTACAGTGGCTAAAATGATACCAATTAGCATCTCATGCTATAAAGAAATTTTTCACAAAAGGAAGTCAGTCAATGCATCAACCTACATTGTTGTCTTATTGTAAGAGATTGCCACAGGCATCCCAGGCTTTAGCAACCACTGTGTGATCAGTCAGCAG